GGCGCCTCGTATCGACCATCTGTGGAAGACTTTTTCTACCATCCTTGGTTGCAAGGCGTTCATCAGCATCAGTAGACCACAGAGGCCCACCTGCGCAGTTTTGTCCAGGAGCCTGGCAAATAACAGCTCCACACATCTCCTGGCCACAGGAAGCGAAGACAACCACTTTTTGCTTTTGACTGTACCACCGCGCAGGGATCATCAGATGGGGACATGCACATTGTGTCCTGGAGCTGGGCTGGAGAGCTGATATTCCAGGCATTGGTGGTCGCCATGCAACCCAGCTGTCCTGGACACCCATCAAATGACCTCAACTCATTTAATGTCTTGGCAGTAAACTTTCTTGGTCGTTTATGTTTGGGTTCTGTTTTTCAAGGCTCCTGAGTGTCTTCCTGCTGGTGAATTGGGGACCACAAGAGGATCAGAGACTTTATTGCAAGAAAAGCTTCAATGGGGCAAAACTGACTGGGGGGTGGGGTGGGGTGGGCAGGTACCGCGGCCAAATGACTGTCTCTTCTCCGCTGTTGCCATGCTCGAGTGCCTTTGGTTGCGATCTGGGCTGTGCTGTAGGAAATACTTGAATTTTCCTACCCTGCTGCTTTTCCAGGACTCGCCTGGGTACATGGTTCCTTTTCCCTCTGAAAAGAAAACAGGGTAGAAGACACTTGGGAGCCAAGCGGACGATGTCTCGCCTTTCGTGCCTCCATCTCGTGTGGGTTTTCTGGGCTTCTTTGCTTCCTCGTGCCCTCACGAATGCACAGACGATGCAAACCAACAGAGCTGTGAATGTGTAAAAGTTCTCTGGGAGCAAAGCTTGAGTTCCCATTCTTAACAGTGATGACGTTTTACCTTTTGTTCTTGGTTCCAGGTCTTGGTTTTAATTTATTTTCATGAATTTGTGTTTGTTCTTTAAAGAGTTCTAGCCTGTAGGATAACTTATTTATAATTCCTGTGGGTTTCCAACCCATGCCTTGCTTCTTCCCACAGCTGCTGATCCCTCACTTTTCCGTTCTAGTCTTCCCTCCGTGTCTGCCCTGTGTCCGTCCCCGGGCCTGTAGTGTTTCTGTCGGCTGTTTGGCCGAGGGGCGGAGCGGCCGCCCGCTCCCCAGCCGTCTGTGTACGTAGCTCTGGGTGCTGCTGTTTCCTCACCACGTGCAGATCTCAGATTGCAGATGAGTTTTGGTTTTCCCCACGGGTGTCTTGGCTGGGGCAGGGGAGCTGGCCCGGGCTGTCTGTGCTGTCGAGTCTTTACGTGTAACCAAGTGTGTAGCCGGCGGGTTTTTTGTTAATAGTTAATATTGTACAGGGGAATTCAGAAATCTTATTTTTTTAATGCAGTTTTAAACAAAAAGAAACCACTTGATGTGATGGAGACATTCTTTTATGGTGGGGTGGGATGAAGGATGCTGTGAGGGAGCCGGGTACCGGTGAGCACACCGTTGCTAAGCCGACTGGGGGGCCCCCCGGTTTGTGCCCAGCTGAGACTAACTCCGAAGGTCCCACCCAAAGGCTTGCCGAGCAGCCTTAACCAGGACCAGCCAGCCGAGAGCACCACAGGGTAGGCTGGAGCCTTCCCTCCATGGGGTTTTTCCAGCGCCAACTGCTCCTGGCAGCTCTCCTGGGAGAAATCAAAGGGGTGTGGAGCCCTTTTCATTTCCATTCATCTGCAGGCTGGAGCAGAGCATGTGCTGGGGACAGGGAGTAAACAAACATCAAAGCAGCCTTACGAAACGCCGGATGTTGTCAGCCAAATTCAATTTTGGTAAGACAGATCCTGTTGCTCCGGCTCTGTTGGTGTGGAGCAGGTGTTGCGGGTGCCGGGGGGTGAAGAAACCCGCCGGCGGGCTGTCCCCACCTCCAGCTCGGCTGTGGCGAATGTGGAGCGAGAGGAAGTCGATCTTCGGATTACGAGAAGTTGGTCGCTCTCAGTCAGCAGCGGCAACGCTTCGCTCGAGCTCTTGCCCCAACTTTCAAACCCTACTTCGGTGCTCTGCAGCACTTTGGCTTCAGAGGTGTTGGGTTTTGGTTTG